TGCTGTCGGGTGGTTTTCGGGCGGGCCCCCGGGCCCACCGGATGGACCCGAACCTTTCCCGGAAGGCATGGCCGCGGGCCATGCCTCATGAACACCGGGCCCGCCTGCGGAAAAGGGCCACGGCTGGGGCTGGGTCAGTGGGCCGCGGGAAAGCCTGCCCGGGGCCCGGGCGGGGGGGGGGGGGCGGGCGGCAACCAAAAGGCCAACGGGAGGGAGAGCGAGAGAGAGCGAGGGAGGGCGACGGCGAGGCCGCAAGCAAGCGCCAGTCCGCCGGTCCGCAAGCCAGGTCTCCTTGTGTGATCTCGGGGGGGATGAGGCGTGCGGGGGCCATGTCGAGGCACTGCCGGCGGAGCCGCCCTGCCCTCCGGCCCCCCCCCCCTGCCGCCCCTCTGACCACATGCGCATGCCTGCATGGGCGCACGGGTGCACGCACGCGCACGCCGGGTGGGACAGGGCGGACCCCGGGGCATGGGGAAAAGTAGCACCAAAAAGGGGCCGACGCCTGCGGGTGCACCGCCCCACCAGGCAGCTGGATGAGCAATAGCACTATCGTTTCTCTGGCAACCGCTGCCCGGGGCGCATAAACAAACAAACAAACAAACCCCCGCGTCGCCGGCCGCGAGGGCTCTCGACATGGGCCCTCGGACGAGCGTCGGCCGCCCCGGGCGAGCGCGCCTGCCGGGCCGGCACCGCGCATTTGTGTGAGAGCGGCGCGCCCGGGCCGACGCTCGCGAATGGGGCCCAGTCGGCTGATGCCAACACCGACTCCGTGCATGGGACAAGGGGGCGGGGGCAGGGGGAAGGAGCCCAGCCGGAAGGGCGGACCCCAGAGACAGGTCGGCTGCGGGAACGCCCTGGGCCGCCCCCCGGCCCCCGGCCCTCCCCTCCCCCCCCCCCCGTCGGGCCGCCCCAGGGGAACGTGGGACCGCTCGTGCGCCGCGGCCAGCCGGTCGTTTCTGCACCAGGGGCGCGTAAGACGCCCGGACGCTTTGGGCTAGACCGCCGCCGTGCCTCGGGGCCCGAGGTCACCCCCGGCCACCAGGGCCGCGGAGCGGCGCTCGCCCGGTGGGGCACACTCGCGGCCGGCCGGGGCGAGTGCCCGCCGGGGCCGCTGCCTCGACCGTGTCTCGGGTCGCCCGTCGGGCCGCGCGCATGCTTGGATGCCGGCGCAAAGGATGACCCCCGGGCCTGGGCCTTTCGCGCCGCAACGCCCCGGCCGCGCGACCCGGACACACACGGCAATGCCCGGGCCCGAACCGCACCCCGGCCGGCCGAGGGAAGTGCAGCGTGAGGCGCCGAAAGCCGTTGGCATGTGGGCTGCCCCAGATGCCGGCGGATGAGGCCAGGCTGCCCGCCTGGGCCCGGGCCCCGGGCCGAGTAATGGCCCCCCCACAAGCCCCCCCCCCCCCCCCCCGCCAAGAAACCAACAAAAGCAGGCCCAGCAAGTACGGGCGGGCAAAAGGGCTGCCGACTGGCCCGACCTTCCCCCCCCCCCCCCCCCCCCCCCCGCCCCCGCCCCCGCCCCTCCGCACCAAGCGAGCCATCCCGGCCCGTACTGGCCGGCAGGACCCCGGGGCCAGCGCGAGTCGGCAGAGGCCGCCACGCGTCGGCTCCTCCTGTGGGCACGGGGCAGACGTGCCCATTGGCAACGCCTCAGCGCCCGGTTGACAGACGGAAAGATCACCTCCAGCGGCCGGTATCCGGGGGGCGGGGCGAGCGCCAGCGTGCGTTTCTCGCACCTCTCGGCGCAACCGCCGACCCGACCCCCGGGGCAGGCCCCCCCTGTTTTTTCCCGGACAGGGGGCGGCGCACGCGGGCCGGCTGGGGCGGCAACAACCAAAGATAATAGTTGATGATTGGACCCCCACGAAAGAGCGGCCAAGGGAGCCGGGCAGGCAGCGAGAGCGGGTGGTGGCGCATCGTGCTCGGGCGGCTGCCCGGTATCCGGGCCCCGGGGTGCTCGCGCGTGGGCGCCACGAACCCACCTGAGGTGCGAGATCCGGCGCCGGCGCCGCAGGGCCCACTGCCCGAGTGCGGACACCGGTGTTCCCACCTGGCTGCCAGACGGTGGCGGGCACCCGTGCCTCGGGGGAATGCCCGCCACGGCGGGCGCGCGCCCCCCCCCCCCCCCCCCCCGAGGCCCGTCGCCGCGCCTGTGGGCGGACATCGGTGGGTCAAAGGGCCTGTCATTGCGCGGGGCAGACACAGCGAGAGGCCGACAGAGGCGAGGCGAGAGCGGGAACGCTCGGGGCCCCGCCCCGTTCCCCCGATGAGGATGGCTGAGTGTGATAGTTGCCAGACCACACACACACACACACGCACATCCACTTGGATCTGGGGACGCAGCTCCCGTTTCAGAGGCACCGCCGCAGCCGCAGCAGGGGGACCGGTGCAAGGACTTTCCCATTGTCCCCCTGCCTTCGCGGTTCCGCCTGATTGCATCCCTCTCCGGGGCCCCCCCCCAAAGCCGGAAGCGCCCGACGCCAGGGGGGGGGGGGGGGCGTCGCATCCCCGTCTCTCCGACCTGCTGCCAACCAAGCGGCCAAGGCACCGACAGGTGGGAGCACAGCCAACAAGGCCGGGATCCAGGCCGCTCGGTCCCGGGTCAAGGTGCTTGAGTCAGTGTGAGTGAGAAGACCCACCTCACAGGAGGCGAAGCTCCGCCAGGGGCAGGCCCGACCCCGGAGACCGGTGTTCAGCTCGCTCGAAAGTGGCCACCGCGCCCCCTCCCCCGTCCAGGACGGCCAGGCACGCCGCGTGCCCAGTCTTTCCGGTGTTGAGGGTGACTCAGAGGCCCGGGGCTGGCCCCTCGCGGCCTGCGGGATGCCGAAGTGCAGCCCGCCCCTTCCGCCCCCCCCCCCTCCCCACACACACACACACACGCAGGCTGCTGCCGTGGCGCGGGATGCCTCGAGGCCAGAGGCGAATCGAAAATTGCATCCAGACGTGCTGGCCGAATCGCGCAGGGATCCCGGCGAACGACCCGGCCACCTCGGCGGGCGAGACTGGTTTGGCCCGGCAGCCGCATCTGGCAAGGCCATACACCCAAACGCCAGACATGCTAGCGGGAGCGGGGGTGGAGCCCACTCCCCCCCGGGCCCAGGCCGATCCAAGCGCGTCCGTGCCGACAGTCAGAGGACACCGAGAACGGCGGAGTTCCGGGCCGGCTGGATGTCCCCGGTCCTGGGCCCCGGCAAATGCGCGGCTCTCTCGGCCGCGCACCGCCTCAATAAATGGAAAAAAAAAAAAAGGCCCGGGGCATCCTCCTCCAGCCCTCCCGTGCCCCTTTCGACCGGCAGGCGCCCAGCCCAGGCCTCCCGATCGTACACCCAGCCCTGTGCCTTGTTTGTCCTGCCCGCCACTATCCCAGGCCCCGGGACCGTGCCCCAGGCCAGATCTTTTCCCCAGATGCCTCGCCGCGGAGGGGTCCTCCTCCGGCTCCCCGCACGCACATACCAATGCTCAGTGAGTCGAAATCGGCGGAGACACCTGGATGATGAGCACCCGACTCCAAATGTCGCAATACTGCCTGCCAGCACCCTGGCCGACCCCAGCCTGACCCGTACCCCGCCCCTCCCTCTCGCCCGACGAATCGCGCTGAGGGCGCTTTCCATTTTCAGACAATTGGTCGGCTACCTCCGGTGCCCACCGACCCCCTCCTCCTCGTTCTGCTGCTCGAGGCGCGCGTCAGGCATGCACCGGCCACGGGGAACAATACAGGCAAGGCAGCGGCCGCGGGGAAGAGGGGGTCGCGCGCGCGCAACCGAGAACACGGAAGAACCGCGATGCCATCTCCATGTCTCGCGCCCTCGAGGAGCACACTGAAAAGGGCGCCGGGCGAACAGCTGCCAAACTGTGCGCCCATTGTTGTCGCGGACGCGCGCGCGCGCGCGCGCGCATGTGCCCCGGGCCCCGAGCCCGCATCGAGCCATCGTGCATCTATGCATACGACCCGGCCACACCCTCGCGGAGCAACGCCCCTGCCCACCCCCAAGCCGCCGGCGGTCGAGGCGTGGGAAGAATGGGGACCTGGTGACCCTGGGCCCGCGCGGGGAAGGGTGGAGGGGTAAATTCCACCCTCGTCCGGGTGAGGCCCGCCGCCCTGCCCTTTGGGCCGGTGTTTTCTTACAGGCCTATAACAACCAATAAATACACATTTTTAAGTGGCCTGACTGCCGCCGAGGGTGCGCACATGCACCAGGCCCAAAGGGCAGGGCGGCGGGCCTCTGTTTCTGGCCGATGTTACACCCCTCCCCCGGCCCGGCCCCCAGCCCGAGGAGAAGTCGATGCATTGTCATCTCGCCACATGCCAAGCCGGACGCAGGCATCCTCGCTGGAATTCACCCCTTGGCCGTGGCTTTTCCAGGAACTGCCGCCTCTCTCTCACCCCCCGTTGGCCCCCATTCCTCGGCCTGCATGTACGGACCCCTGCACCCGGGTGCAATGGGGGGCATCCCTGATTTTCTCCGGCCCTGTTTCGGTGCCCCTGTGTAAAGTCCATGAACCAGATGCGCACATATCAAGCACAGCCCGATTCCTGACACTTCCCGGCCCTGCTGAGGGGGCCCTCTTTCTGTCTCTGTCTCTCTCTCTGTCTCTCTGTCTCTCTCTGTCTCTCTCTCTCTGTCTATCTCCCTCTCTCTCTTTCTGTCTCTCTCTCTCTCTGTCTATCTCCCTCTCTCTCTTTCTGTCTCTCTCTCTCTCTGT